TATGTGTAACGTTCAAATGATAAATATTAAGCATATATGCGTTAATTTGTATTTATATATCCTAGATGTGTGTTGAAGCTGGAAGACCACTTATCTTGACAGATCTTGAAATTATATATGGTATTTTAAAATTGTACCTGTGATATCTTGTATAAAATTTATAACAATAAGCCATGTTTATTTACGATTTACTTTTTTATAGGAGTCTTTATGATTTGTGGAATCAAAATTACATATCTGTTGGCAAAGAAGGTGATATAAAATATTATACGCGTGTGGCATTGGGCGCTTATTCGAATCCAATGGTTTGTGTGCACGAAAACTTTCGTTGCATTTTGGTGCTTGATGAGAAAAATGTAAACCTAGCAGATCCGCCGCTTCTAAATCGATTTGAAAAACAAAAAATGTCGATTAACGATGCATTAGATGATTATATGGAAAGATTAGTAGTAAGGCTTGCTGATTGGTCACAGCAAATTTCAAATTACATAAAGAAGGGTGACACATCTAAATCCGAATTTAATGAGCATGATGTTTTTATTGGGTTTGATAAAGAAGAAACCTTACAAAGTTTGGTTATTTATAATTGCAGCAACAAAGAAATTAATAATGATGATGAAACAATTCTGAACAAGTGTAAAGAATTATTAATAGGCATTGCAACATCAGATGGCGTGGTGCGATCAAAGGAATCTATGCTATCAGTTACAAATCATGAAGAAACTCAAAACTGGTATAATTTCTATTTTCACGAGCAACAACATGAAAACCTTTTCAAATATATTCAGTCATTATTAAACAATACTGAAGATATTATGAATAAGCAAGGGTTCAAAGTAATAATTAACACGTTTTCAAACATCAATACTGACATATCTTTCTGCTTGAACGATATCTTGACATATCAAGTTGACAAGATTTCAACATTCAAATCCGAAGCCCAATTACAAAATCGAATTAAACATTTCTGGTTAGAATCAGATGATGAAATATTAATCCTTCAATGCGATCTATCAATCGTTAATTCTGGATGTGTTAAACTTGCAAAATTCATTATTGAACAATGTAGAAATGAATATTTGTCTGCAGACAAATTCTTAGAAAACACTAAGCCATTAAAACATGTTTGCATAATTCTTCATGTGCAACGAAAAAATGATACTAAACCATCATTTAATTTTATGTGTGGTTGGGATTTGATTACAATTGAAACCCTAGAACCTCAAAAACATCACCTCTTGGATTATCTAGATGGAAATATGTCTCAGATACTTGACAATACATATAAATTTGAAGAGATTATTGAGCAAGAATTATTTTGGTGCTTGCTTTGTATGCGATTTCAATCTCGTAAATCCGTTGATTATATAAAGTTAGTAATTTATTTAAGTTTAATAACTTGAGTTTGCAATTTATTATAATTGTGTCAATGTTTTTGCAATTTCTTTTCAAATAGATTCCTCTACCAACAAATTCCAAGTCATACTACATTAATTGAATGTTTAAAGATTAGATCACTTGAATGGCTTCAGGAAAACGCGCCCGAAAATTGGCAATTCCAAGTCGCAACAAACAAAACTGACTTACATTTATATTCATCATTTTCTATTGTTCTACAAGCATATATTCGTAATCTGGTCAGAAAACCAATTGCAAAACTTCTCTGTGCATTGGAAAGATTATCAGGTCTTTCGACTCTTTTTAAAAATAATCACTTGGAACAAAATCTACATGCAGATGAAACCACAGTTAATTTACTTACATTTTGGGAAAAAGTATTTATGGATCCTAAAATTGTTAATATCGAATTCATGCTAGATCCACGACCAGATAGATACTTTATACAGAATAAAAAATATGATTTGGTATTTCCTTTCTCAACATACATCATGGGCCAAATTGATAAATTCAAAAGATTATATGAAGAAGATTTAGCCATGTTAGAAGAAAAGGAAGAAAACTTAGATGATACTGGAGAGCTAAAAGCTACTATTATTGAAGATTGCATAGAAAGATTTTCTGCAAACATAATGTCAGCAGTTCCAATATTGAAGCAACCACAATTGACTGAATTTGCTGAATTATATTTCAAGGATTTTCTATCAACTTTTTCACCAATAAATAATGACAATGAATTCTTATCTTGGATTATCAGTCATAATATGGGACAACAAATACCAAATCCTTTTAGACTTCATGTTTATTGGTGGGATAATTCTGAAATTGCATTAACTGAATTACAACTATCAATATTATGTCCTACAGTAATCGAAGAAATGCTTAAATTGGAATTTGAACAGAGCAAAGAAATGAACTTTGAACGAGATTTGTTGGAGAAAATTGCAAAAATAATGATAGAAAAGCTTTGTACAATTGATACAAATGATACAAACTGTATAAAAAATCAACTTTTGATATGGCAACGTGATACCACGAATATTTTATCTTTATCAAGCAAATTACCTAATTCTTTTGATAATCCGTCTATTCACAAACTGCGAATATACAATGATCTTTCAAAATCTCTCGAATTGCAAAAACTTATTGAAATTCGGAATCTTGAAAAAGATAAAGACAATGATGAAATGAATGAAGAAGCACTTTCAGTGCAATTTATAGATATTGTATTTGAAAAGTTGTATGAATTGCAACAAACAGAAGATAATATATCATTACAAAGATCTTTTACAAATAGGTGTTTGAACACGTTATCACTTGAATCACCCATACGTCTCCGTCTTTATGAAAAAATATTTACGCAAGAACCTTTGCCATTATTATGCTTCCCAACTATTCATCGTATCTTCCTCACAGAATACTATGAAAATTATGATATTTTCTTTAACCTAATTGACGATCCTCTTGAAATTTTAGAAGAATCTGAACGTTTACAAGTCATAGAAGGCATTCTGAACAATAAACACCCTGATTCAGAAATAACTGCTTTGTGCTGTGATGTAATTCAAACGCAATTTTTTTCATCACACGATTTCCAAAAGTTATCAAAATATTTCCTCAAAGCATCAGAAGTTCTAGTTACTGCGGACGTCAAAATATTACAGAGAATATCTGCCATTGCTCTTCTGAAAGTATTTGTAAATAAATTATGGGATTTTACATCAATTAAAAGATCTTTAACAGATCCCATAGAATTTGAATTTGAAAATGAAGAATTTAGTATTAATGATTTTAATCAGCGTTTAGAATTACAGAAACCTTTAATTCATTCATTGATGTACTATAAGCTCAAGTCTTTACGATTATTAGGATTTTCAATCGATGATATAAAACGATTCTGTGGAGTGCAGCAACAAATAATGCCATGGCTTGGTGAACTTGTATGGGATGATGATGATAGTCGATTGGGTTATAATCCCTATTGGTATGTCGAACAGTATAAGCGAGCCGAATTTGCGGTCTCAAAAATGTTGAGTCGTGGAGATTGTGAATATTTGGATGCAATGCTAAAAGATATTTTAGGTCCAACAACAAACAACTCAATCAATCATCGAATTTCATTCGCGGGAATAATTATAATGAGGCTTTATATTATTCGAGCAACACGCGAATGGAATCAATCTGAAACGCTGCTGGCACAAAAGATTAAAACTTATTTCGATACGCCTCAGATCCCTCAGTTCTATAAACAACCATTGTTAGGATTTTTATCAAATAAGCATGCACTTTGTAAACTTGCTGTCGAAGATGATAATAAGAAAATATTTATAGCCTCAATAATCGCGCATATAGTTGCTTTGCATATTTCTATTCCTCAAAATTCTTCTCCATTAGCTACATATATGCAAGCATTACAAACGTGTCAAGATGATTTTATTTTGGCATGTCCTTCCGATGAGTTAACTGTTATAATGAATGCAGTAATGGATGAAGAAGCAAAGAAAAAAGATAGCCGATTAACAAGGTAAAGTTACTTGACATGTTTTTTTTTTTTTTGTTAAATTGTATCTTCTCGCGAATAAGAGTAAATTAGTAAAAAAAAAAAAAAAAAAATCGCAAAGAAATGCATTTTGATCTTTTACAAATTCTGGATATTCGTCGAGGAATTACAAATTGGATGTCTTCAGGTGATTCACTATAGAGATGGACGAATTTGTCAATAAGGAATCACAATTAGAAACGGGCAAATCTAAAATTTTCTACTCAGGCTGCGCAGCACGCGTATTAAAAAAAAAAGCATTGATTTCAAGAATTTGCGCAAGAAGCAGTCCTAACCCATGCAATCCAGAGCATTTCATCTGTATTTTGAAGGAAAATGGCCCATGCCCGTTAATACTAAAGCAAATTTTAGTAATTTAACTCTTCAAAAATTCTTTATTAATAGATATCGATGTAATAAATGTGGAGAAATATACCTTGTTGGAGAATGCGGAAATGTGACAATGCATAGTCAATGTCCAACGTGCAGAGGAGAAATCGGTGGCAGGGGTTATAATCAACCATCTGAAGGTAATACACGTTTAGACGGTGAACCATTAACGCAGCAAAGAGATGCAAAAGATCAACGAGGTTATATAGTAGAAAATAAAATCACAGAAAATTTCTACAGCGTTAGATCAATGACCCCAGCATCCTATAGAATAATCCATCTTTTTGTGCATGCAATTATTGGAATACAAGCTCCATCAGAAATTGTCAGCAAATTTATCAAACATAATGTAGAAGAAAATAATAATCTTCATAGAGCAGAAGATATTGCGCCATTCTGTGCAATACACATCAATAATGATTGGGATGCGTTGAAAACCATACTTGCTTGTGACGATGAACAATTAGCATTAGTTTTGCACGCGATTCTGTCTGAAATGACACAACAGCCATTACAACAACCAGCAAGGATAAGCACACCTATTGAAAGAGAAACTTGGGAAAATCAATTTAGCCAGAAATATATTTTACCACTAACAAAAAATGTGATGGGAACTGCAACAGATTTTAATATGCTATTAGAAACAAATATAACAAATGCTCAACAAAAAACTAAGGCTGAAGTTAGTGAAATAATGAAATTAAATGATCAATATATGGAAAATTATTTACCTCGACTATGGCGTCTTGTTGGAAATGCGGATATCACTAATTTCCGAGCGTATTACTTAAACGATGCAAAACATATAGAAGCCTATCCATTTCTGGCAATCTTTCTAAAACATGAAAACAATTTACATCTAATAAGTCATCTCTCTCCAATTGTGAAATTTGTTCAAATTTTATCTACAAGCCTTTCATATCGTATTGAAAGACAAGAAGCAAGAACAATGACTTTCCGACAATTCATTCTTAAAGAAAGCGATAGCGATGGTACTGGTGAAACACAAAGAACATTAGATAAGGCATTCATTAACTTTGCAGATTCATGGAATGACTTGATTCCATATGTCAATAGATATCAATGCCATCCCTTACCACAAGCAATGCCAAAAATGCATGACAATATTCCTGTTGTTTTTGGATTATTAGAACCGGTTAACGAAAGTTTATTTTTGTGTGCAGCTATAGATTTCTTGGTTCAGCTTCAAAATGCTTTCCTTAACGAAGTTATTGAAATTCCTTCAAAAACGTGTCAATCCTTAAAATTTTTAGAAAAAGCAGCCATTCAAAATGATGACGATAGGCACATTCAACCTACATATCATTTAAAGTCAATTACTCTCGATAACGCAAGACCGGAAAATATTATCTCTTATGATAATGGAAATTCAGATATCTTCAGATTTAGTCAATTTGATTTGAGAATTGGTCATGGTCGTGAAATCCAGTATGATTTACGTAAAATCGAAGCTGAATTAGCACTTGAGCTAGTTCATGAAAAAACATTGATTAAACCTGATGAAAAAGAATTATATTTAGAACCTTTCGTGTATCACAAGGAAATGTTTTCTGGATCTATGACAATTTTAAGTGAAATTAAAAATTTAATGCCTCAAGAACGTATTCCTGAAGATAAGAAAGTAATATTTGTAGGAACCTATTCTAATTATGGAAATTATAGTGAAGGAGGATCTTCAGCATTAGAAAATCCGAAAGAATTGCTTTCAGCCTTGGAAATAATGCTTTGTTTTCTAAAACGTACGTCTGGAAGCGATTGTGACACATTGATCACGGAATACATTGAAAGTTGGATGAAATTAGCCGTATTGAAAGAAAACAATAGTAGTTATAAATTATTGTTAAAAGCTGGTCTACAACTTAAACATATAGTAGCGTTATATGAGTTAGTAGAAGAGCACGTAGCTGATGTAGTTGCCACTTGTATTCCTCAAAAATATCAAGAAAAACTTGGTTATTCATTGCAACAAGAAATTTTAGATGCAGTTGATTTTGAATCATTAGAACAAGGAGAGCAAAACCAAAATGCCAAGTCAAGTAAAAATTTACGCATTTCGGCTAAAGCATTTGCTACGGCATTGAAAAGGTTTATAATAAGATATTTGACTACCAATGAGAGCATTATCGAAACAGAAGATTTGATGTACTATTTGGTGGAAGATGAAAGCCTAGAATGTTGGCCTGACTGGGTAGA